ATATTATATATAAATACATGTTGCCTTTTAAAAGAAAGGAGTTGCATTAGGAGAGAAAGCTGACATTTTATAGGCATTCAAGAGCAAGAAGAGAGGTAGATAGCTTGTTTGTGGGCAGAGGATTCTGTTGTGTTCTGAAAGGTTTGGGTCATCATAGTTAGAGTCAGGGAAGAGTCAGATAACAATAACTCTGACTATGAGGGAAGTGAATGGCTGGAAAATTTTCCTGTAAATATGGGAAAGGATTTTTTTTCTTTTTTTTTTAAATTTTGAAAGAGTTTTTAAAAATTGCCTTGGATTCTGATGTGCAGAGATGCCAAGCTCTCCTTATCTCTAGAGCTATAGAAACTCAACTGGTAAGGGCAAAGAATATACCTAACACAAATGAAAACCTCAGGAAGGATAGAGAGAATGAAAAGGGTGTAAAAGGAGAAAAAGGGATGATATTTGGTTTTAAGGAATAAGAATTAAGGTACATTTATATTTCCCCCCAGTGCAGCATTCTAACAACATCCTATCCTTCATACACCCTCCTTTCATCCATTTCTTTTCTGTGTATTTTTTTCCTCCCTCGCTCCCTTCTTCCTTCTCTTCCTCCCTTCTCTCTTTGTATAGCTCTCTCTCCCTTTATTTCTTGTCAATCAGGATGCTTCATGGGATGTGTACCATTATCTCTTGTCTAGAAATCCCGGGAAAACCCTAACACTGTTACAAAACCTATGGCAAACCTACTGCCTTCTAAGGAGGATTGGTGGAGGATGAGTCCTCATTTTAGGTCTTGTGGAGGCAAACTGAGATATACTCATTCAGAAACCTCTGCCCAGGGTCAATAAGTAACAGATTAAGCATTTTTGGGGCAGGGTCATAATTCAGTCACTTAGTAGAAATTTTTTTGTGACTAGTGCTCTCAGTAATTGTTGATAGACATAATCACTTATGTTTGAAAGGAGGGAAGAATGAACTCTCATTCCTCAGGTGATGCCTGTTAATGAATTCAACTTTCTGATTCACTCTGTCTGAACAGCAGGAAAAGAGCTGGTAAAGGGACAGTGGTGTGCAGTATCAGTGATACTCCATTGCTTTGAGAGGTTATGGTGCATGAGTTTCCTGTGGGTCCAGTGACAGATGGCTGCCTTTGAGCCATTTTTCTTCAGCAGGGTGCCCTCAGAATAAAGGGACTGGTGGAAGAGCCTGGAAAAAATACTACTGGTGGCAGAGCTGTGGGGTGATTGGTGCATCAAGCCAGAATATTTCTCTGATGAAGGCAGTCTAAAATGAGGTGTTCCCACCAGAGATAACGATAACCTACCGCTTTCTCATAACTCGACCTACATTAATTCACTGTGATTCTAAAGTCCCAGGGAATCTCAAGCACGCTCCACAAGAGAGACACCTGCCGCTTACAGGGAGGTCCTGGTGAGTCCCCGTCAGCAATGGGAAGTATATGATAACACCTCCTAAGTTGGGCATGTCAGAGATATTCTATTTATCCTACTCCTCTATCCCATCCCGACCTAGTCTCATGACTAGAGATTCAGCAGAAGGAGTGGGGAAGGAACATTCAAGAAACTGACCACGTCTGTTTTATCTGCTGTGTGCCTGAAGCCACCCTAGAGGGAGAGGAAAGTATCAAATAATCGAAGAGGAGATGGTGTTAGAACTTTACTGACCGGACTTTGAAAACCCCGAGTGACTAGAATACATGGAATATTCCCAAGACGATGCTAAGGAGATGCGAATGCAGTGGAGCATGGTTAAATACAGCTGTTAGAGAAATATGAAGGCATTTCATGTTTGTGTGTTTAGACTGTTCAGTAATCTCATGCTATTTAGGGGCATTGCAGTTGCAATAGAACTTGTATTGTCTGTCAAAACATTGTGAAAGTTAGTTCAAAGAATATGGCTGGCTTTCACAAAGAGTTCTGAGAATTCATTCTTCTTTATAGCATGACAAGAATAATTAATGATAACCTAATGCTTTCTCATAACTTGACCTACATTAATTCACTGTGATTCTAAAGTTGTGATTCTAAAGTTGTCTTCTTTGCACAGATAGTTGTGTTATTTGTGGCGAATTTTGATAGGAACTTCTCAATAGTGGTGATAGATTTTCTTCTAGTTTTCTATTAAATGAAGAAAAGAAATTCTGACAAATTGACTTTTAGGATTTTGATGATGCTTTAGAGTCAGTTTTTATTTTATTTTTTTAAAGAAGAGACACCTTACACACTCATACCCAAACATGCACTAAAAAGCCATAAAACTAAAAGAAGCTTTCCAAGGGCTGGATCGTGAAGAACCAACTCAGAGATAGACGTAGCGGATGTAGACTTAGCAGCTGCCATCGTAGGCGATTTTGCACTTCAGGAACTTGAGATAATTGTCGACCTTATGTGTATCCCTGCGCAGGCAGCGGAACAGGTTATGATAAGCAAGCAGAAGTGATTCCAAATCGTTTGATTGCAGGGAGGGAAGTCCCAACCAGACAGCATAGTTCCCATTGTCTATGATTTCAGGATCAACCTAGTCAACAGAAAGACAGTCATCCTTAGTATTATTTATATGACTTGTTTTCATATTATTCGTATTTGTTTATCCTTGTTCTTTTCAATTGTTTAACAGAGATTTGGGGAAGAAATGGAAATGTAAAATTTTAGCCAAAGGCTCCAATTTTCATGCATCCTTGCCAGGGTATCATAAATCTATCAGTCATCTAAAAGCTAGAAGCGGAACATATGTATAATTTTTCTGCTGCGCAAGTGAAGTTTGCTTCTGCAGGAGTAGGCAGGTGGAGAAGCAGAAAGTTGCTGCTTGGATACAGAAATGGGTTTGAACAAGCAGCCGTGGGGAGGGTTGCGTCTGTTTTCACATTAGCAGCTTTTACATTTCCTGAAACTTGCCAGGGATTCCCCTTTATATTTTATTTCTCCTGATAGTTTGGCACTTATCTTTGCGTTGCTTTGAACTGAATCTGTTCTCCATGTAGTGTCTGTACCAAGAACTCTAAAGATGACCAGGAGCAGCTGCTTTCTTTCGAGTTCCCAGGGGTGGGAGTCACTGGGGGAAGTACCTATGTTATGAGGGCTCTGGCAGCAGCCCTCCGTGGTGAGCGTTAAGGGGTAGTGTTGGGAGTAAGACTGAGATTCAGAAAATGGTGCACAATTAGAAAGAGGGAGGAGTGGGTCCCCTGTGCACTCTGTGAGCTTCTGCAAGCTGGATGTCCCTGTGACCATCACAGAGCCTCTAATTATGTCAGCCAATTGTAGATCTTGATCTACTGAACTTTCTCTTACAGAGTAAGAATACCTTTAAAATCTGGGATTTCCTGTTGGAATTTGAAGTGTGTGTGTGTGTGTGTGTGTGTGTGTGTGTGTGTGTTTCCTTGTTTTCTGCATTATTTTTTAACTTTTGGTTCGTGAGCCCCTAAGACAAAATTTACTCTGAGAGGTCCATGATATGAACAGAAATAAATGAGTCAGTGGTGGAAAAAGGGAACAGAAAATGAAGCATTGTAGGACAGAGTAGTGACCTTCAGAAGTCAGCTCATGGTAATGAAGAAAATAACTTGAAAATTAAGGTGTTTATTTCTTATGTTCCTGGGTTAATATGTTCTTTGTATTGGAGATAGACTTCTACCATGAAAATGACAAAAATGACACATGATAGCATATACTTAGGACACAAAAAGAGAAATATAAAATTGCTTCTGCTATTATTTCTATAATCATATATTTTTCTTTAGATAATCCATTATTTCTGAGGACTGCAGAAAGCTACTGAGCTGTTATCTCCCTAAGGTTGAAATTGTTCCACCTAAATGGAAGTACATATTGAAAATATTAATGCAATCTATGTAAGACAAATTATTTGGGGAGATTAAATGCAATTATATGAGTTTTGATTTAGCAAAAGAAAATTTAGGATACCTTTCTATAAATTTTAAAATAAGGAACATTCCAGATAATCTAGACCTCTCCTTTCGTGACCCTCCAAAAGCTAGTGCTATGGAATGGTATTGACGCTATGGCCTCCTCAGTCTCCTCTGGGTAGGGGTGGGCTGGGATGGGGCCACCACCCTTCTGATTTTGATTTTCTCCTTTCTAATCCTGTGGTGTGAGGAGAAAAAGGAAAGAATCTGACCAGAATTTCTGTGCAGGTGTGCCGAGATGCATTTGAAGGATGTTCCTCTTTCAGGAGCTGTTGTTCTATTGTCTTTCCCTGGGAATGTGTGGCCATCCACCCCCAGGAAGGAACACATTTTTGGTGGCTTTGTGGACAGTGTAGGGAAGGCAGCAGTTATCAGCCACATCCTGAGATGTACTGACCACATCTCTGGTGTGGCTGGTATGGCGCTTGCTTTGTTTAATAGCAATCTAGAAGACAGAACATGTGGCCTAAATGTCAGTCCTGCAAAGTGAGGGATTTGGAAACATTTGCCACCACAGATGTGCCTCTTTAATGAGAAAACCAAGGAAGCCCCAGGAGGCTGCTTACCAGCTTGCCTATCTTCTTCAGGCCTTCTAGAAGTCGCTGGTTTTGTTCCTGAATCTCCATGGCTTTTGCTATGAGAGCATCAGGGGATTTTGGCAGGTGACGGGCTTCTGTGATGAGGTGGTTCAGAGGTTCGGTCCAGGAGCCCAGCAAGTGGATGACCAGAATGACAAAGTCTTTTTGCTAAGCAGTTGGAGGGCAGCAATGACATTAAAATAGGTTAGACACAGCTGGGTTAGTGCACATGATGGCTCAGAGAGGCTGAAATCAAATATTCCTTTGTTATTCCTGTGTGCATGTAAAATTCTTCAGTAGATGAGAAACACTGTAAGAAAGATGAAATTTAAGCTACTGACCTATGCTTTGCTATAGTAGAACAAACACAAAACTGGTGGAAAAAAACCACTTTTTCTAATGAGAGCTCTAATCAGTAACATTCAGCTCAGTTTTCCTTCTGAAGTTCTGTCTTTATTTAAAACCATGTTGAGATTGTTTATGGCCCAGAATCAGGAGAGAGAGAGAGAGAGAGAGAGAGAGAGAGAGAGAGAGAGAGAGAGACACAGAGGGAGGGAGAGATTATAACAATAAAAAATTGGAGCTTGAAACAATGACCAGGGTTTCATATGTAGACTTGGTTGTCACCAGAGCAGAGGCCAGAGTTGCATCTGTGAGAGTCATGACATAATATAGTACAGGACGTGCACAGAGGGTGACTTTCAGTTAAGACATAGGAGAAGGCAGAGGAGTGAAGAGTGAAGAAGTTGGCGTTAGAGAAGAAGGAGTAGAGCCAGGAGAGTCTTAAAGACTAGACGAGATGGCTCAGACGAGGAGGGGTCAGCGGTGTAAAAGTCTGCCAGTGCGGATCCACTAAGAACCCATAAGACGTAAAATTGCACCTGCACTTCTTACACAAATGCACAGAGGTCTCTTTGCCTATGATGTCCGTTTCGGTTCAGACTTCCCTATAATATAATATATACCATCCAAGTACAGGGTGTTGGTTCAGTGAGTCCGTGTGGACAATGTATGGATCTAGTACAATCTTTATTTAGCATTTGATTTTATGTACAGTTTACCAGCTACATAATGTAGTTTTCTCTGGTTGCTTACTCTCCCTGCAGTTTTTTTTTTTTTCCCCGGTGTGTGGCCACCGATACCACTAGTTTCAGTGCCTTTTCTCAGCTATGGCTCAGCAAAGCCAGTGCGCTGTCTCAGTCATCCTGGTGGAGCCTGCGCTAGGGACTCACTTGGATTTGCTGGGCCTGCTCCTTGCCAGCTGGAGTGGAGATGGATGCAGTGTGGCACACGCTGATGGCCTGGGTAAAGAACCCTGGGCCCTGGGAATACTGCGCATCCTGGAAACGATGAAGAAAATTCAATTAATTCAATTAGCTGTGGTTTGGGAATTGAACACAATGAATCCATTACTAGAACAGTAATCCATTTGATGGATGTGTAATTTTAAAGAAATTAATGCTACATGAGCATTGCAGCTAAAGAATTAATAAGGTAACCCTTTTGCCCACCCCCCGTTAGCTCTGTAATCTCATTGTTTTTTGATTAATTTTCAACCCTCCTAACCTCTTCCCTTCTTTGCTATACTCTTGCTTTCTCATCCTTCTTATGAGTTACTATTTGGAAAGCAAACACTAAAAATAGCAAAACTATAAAATTTTAAGTGTGTTAAGTATCATTTTTGCTCTAGTATTGAAATCAAATGCCATAGTGCATATGTATTTTTATTTACCTGTTTAATCTCTTGTTTCTTGTGAGTCCAAGATGATATTCTTTCTTTAAGTAGACATGAATTATAACTTTCCTTTCACTCACCTCTTATTATATGCAGCTGTATCTTAGGAATTTCATCATAAATTTAAAATACAAATTTTTATTAGGACAAAATAAGTCAGAAAAGCAGGACTTAAACATTTTAGGAGCTACTAAATCATGGTTTGAGATTAAAAAGAAAGATAATACAAAAAGTATGACATTTTAAAGGGATCCCTGGGAAGATTTGGAAGAGAAAAGATAGTAGACTGAAAATGGAGAATGAAAGACAATCTAGTGAGTAAAAGAACTGTACGAATACATATTATTATTTTTATTATCAGGCCACATTTTGCTATGGAGATCCTTTGTTGTACTAGATCCCAATCTGTTGCCTACTCCTTCAGTGGCCTAGAAGAGATAATTTTCCAAGTATCTTCATGGAAGAGGGAACCTGTTTCCGCTTTGACCCCAGACTTTGTATTGTAATTATCAACTCATGCACGGGAAATCTTAGAAAAGTGATTGGTAGCATTTTGAGACTTCTGAGAACATTATTAATTTTCTCCCTCTCACATGAGTTCAGTTTGGTTTAATTCTATTCAATCTACCAAATTTACTGCAGTGCTGCTCTCATGTCTTGGCTGTCTGCAGTGTGCTCAGTGAAGATGAACCCACGGATGGGCAGCTGTGTGCAAGGACAAGAAATCAGCACTCTTCTCCTGCTCTACTTAAGAGTGATTCACGTCAAGTGTTTACATTTTTACAAGTAAAGCAAATTAAGAGAAAGTTTAAAAATTGTTACATTCTTTCACACTATGAGATTTCATGAAACTTTCCTTTTTGCTCCTTCCACTTTTTATTGGCTGATGCCACCTCTAACCTATTAAGATACAGTGTTGAAAATTTGCTTGATAAGATTTTCGTGGGTAAAATGTCGTATGGCTTAGTCATTGGTGTGAAGGCTCCTTTTCAGAAGAGGCAAACAGCGAGGCACTTACAAATTCCTGGAAAATTTCAGAAGAGAGGCTGTGGATGTAATGAGACAGGATGATGGCCCGATCAAACAGCTCTCGGAGGGACACCCGGCAGCTAGCCTCGTTGGGACAGATGGGCTGGGAAGCCACGTTCTTGTACAGGAACAGGTTTGACAGAAGCAGCAGCAGTAAGAGTGGCCCAGCTGAAACAAAACACATAAGCTACTCTGAGATAATCGATTCACAGAAGTTATCACCCCAGTCCCGCCTGGGGACAACTTATCTCTCACCACTGCCCTCTGCCTATGGTTTGCTGCTGTAAGAGCCCGGGAAGGGAAGAATCAGCACCTTCCACTGTGCACATTTAGATTTGCACAGAGAGACAGTTTGAGAAGTGGGTGACTTCTTGCATTTTGGTATCGCTCCCAGGAAGTGCTCTGTACTTTCTCAATATTTAGAGCTTAAATTAATTCTGACCTGAGGTGTTTAAGTCATTTTCTTAAAATCGTTTAATGTCTTAGGAATTTCTGTAGATTTTGGAGTCAGACTTTCTAGGAGTTTGTAATTTTTAAACCCAGTGTCTGATATCTGCATTTTGGATACTGATATGACAAGAACACCACAGTTCATCTGTTTTATCTTTATGCTTGGTAAGAATAAACACTGCTTGCTAATACTGAGAATAACGAGACTCCTAACATAAAAATGATGCCCTCCCTGGCTTGGATTTGTTAATTTCCCGTGATAATCCTGTGTATTTGCTTGACAGTTTGTCAAAACTTTTAGTTTTTTTTTTTTTCCTATATGTGGGCTTTACGGTAACAATGGGAGACAGATTGCGCTTTCCTAATTATCATCAAATTATATTGATGAAACCAAGAGGTCAAGTGATTTTCCCTGAGTCCTATTATTATCAGGTGGGGGAGGCTGTGCACCAATGTTGTGGGCTATGAGCTTCACCACCTGACATCGCAACACCTGTGGGCTCTCAGGTTGAGACTGAACCACCTGGACGGCATCAGTGTTCCTGGGCCATGGTGTGTGCAGTGGTTGCTATGGTTACTCGTGGCAAAAACATTTTCCTTTGATTGTAGGATAGCAGTGGGCTTCAGAAGCTTGATTTTATCCTCTTTCCCTGCTCTATAAAACTCCCACTTTAAAATTCTTTGGCAATGATCAGAGGTGGTTTCATCAATTTGCTATGTCAGTAGAAGGAAAGATGCAGACCTGGAGCTTATCAATGATTTACACTTGCAAGAAGAAAGAAATGACACATAGCTACTAAATTTAAATCACCTTTTACCTTCACCAACATTACTCCAGAAGAATTTCTGATATGGAAATGTGATATTCAGAAGACTAAGTTGCACAGAACCTTTGATAAATGCAATTATAGATCTCCAAAACAAAGCTAAGCAAAAATTAAAGTTCCATATATGAATACAACCTAAACAGAAATACCTAAAATCACTAAACATACCTTAAAATTTCTTACTTCAAAATGGAACTAAATCTTTTAGCTACAAAATTAAAAATAATGTGAGAGGATTCATAGTATAGGCTTTTATTTTTCCCAAAACATAATGATTCAAAAAATTTACTCTGTGCATGTCATTGTAACATAATGTAGCCAAATGGATATTTTATGTACAAGTGTAAATAAAATGTGCTTCAGAAATACAGAAATTGGGACACTAGCTCTAGGAAAATTCACAACTGGATAGATGTTCTTTAACATTGAAGACATTTACCTGTACATTTGTCATCTGAGAGATTTTCACAGTCTAAGTTAAGATAAAATAGACAATTTTTTGTTCTTTATTTTCATAAACAAATTTTATAATTGTTACTAATTTATTTTTCTTGCAAATGTCACCAGGAGAGTAAAGGTGATTACTTAGTACTGGCCTGTTTTTCCTTTTTTTTTTTGATACCAGGGATTGAATTCGGGTCCTTGCGCTTGCAAGGCAGGCCACCAAACTGCTGAGCTAAATCTTCGGCCCCTAGCTATCGGGTCCTTGCGCTTGCAAGGCAGGCCACCAAACTGCTGAGCTAAATCTTCGGCCCCTAGCTTGTTTTTCCTTTTGAAAAGCCATTTGGCTTCAACCAAAGATTCACACATTCACTATGATTATCTGCATTATGGCTTCAGAATTGAAAGTTTCATCTGGTTGATTCAAATTGGTCAATTTACATACGAGACCTGAGAACCAGAAAATGTTTATTTCTGCCTTCTGGAGTTGTCACAAATTGGACTCATTGACTCTTGTGGTGTTATTTTATTCCAGAGTTTCCCAATCTCAGCCTTACTGGCTCTTTGAGCTTGGTAGTTTCTTGTTCTGTTCTCTCCACTGGAGAATGCTCACAGCAACCTGTCCTCTACCCATTTAGATACCATTAGCATTCTCTCTCACCTTCATAAGACAATGCATAAAGTCCCTGGCCATTACCAACTGTCAGGGAGGAGGTAGTATCCCCCATTTCAGGACCTCTGAACCACTCCATTGCACGCTGTGAGCTTGTTCTCCGGAGCAATAATTAGATAGTTCTAATCCCTTTCAAACTTGAAACCTCTTGTTATTGGCTACAATTTCACATTAGTCCCCCCAGCAACTCGCTGACGTGGTGCACATACCTTGCTCCTTGCCGTCCATGGTGGTGAATAGAACTGGAAACACCTTCACTGGAGAAGGCCTGGCAGTCTCAAGTCCAAGTTCAGATATTGGCTTTATAAACCTTTAACATTTTCATGAATATGTTTAATCAGGCATTCTCTTCCCCATTCCCAGTCCTCTATTTCCGTCACTGAGATTAACCCCATGATTTCAAACATCAAATGGTATTTTATTTCTTATTCATATTCAGGAAGTCACACTGGCTAGAAATGAAGGATTTTGATTAATTAAACCAAAAGGAAATGAGAGAAATGATAAAGTTAAAATCTGGAGGCCAGTTTGGATTATGGGATCTGTAAAACTGTAGAAGTCATTACTTTAAAATTTACCTTTATTTCTAGGCAGTTTATGAAATATATAGCATTGTATTTCTCTTAGGAAATAGTCTCATGTATTATCAATTATAAATTTCTCATTCAAGTTGCTAAATGAATTAAAAGTTTCAAAATTTATATACTACATACCAGAGGATATAGCATAAAGATTGAAACAAGTAGAGTTACACTCTGACTTTTCTTCCTTTTTTTTGCTTTTACACATTCTATTTTATCCTCTCTAAAATGAGATATCTGTATGGCACTTTGTTTTATAATATGTGTTTTTGTCTGTTTAATTGCATTTGATTTTTAACTTATGTGTAAATTTATATTATTATCCCCAGTTTACAGATTAAAGAATAGGCTTGGATAAGCTAAGTACTTATCATCAAGTTAGACGCAGGAAGAATTATTGGAGTTGGTAAGCATGTGAAGAAGGGAGGGAAATATATCATTAAATGTATATTTCCATGGATCCATGTGTAAAATGTGTAAGATAGCATCATTGACCTTAGAGTTTATTTTGTGGAAGCCACACAATAACTTTGGAAGCAAACTGTTCCCTCCCCGCTTCTTCTGTGTGTGTGTCTCTCTCTCTCCTTGAAAAGGATGTAATAAACCAACATTCTAGGCAATTATTTCCACTGTTTGGAAGGATAGAAGTAGATAAACTATAATTAACTTGTGATCAATCTGCCTTTTCTGACCCCAAGTCACTCTGGGGAAAGGTGAAAAAATTCATTTTTCATAGACTCAAAAGTTCCATTCATCTCCTAGAGATTGCCTAGAAGAAATGATTATAATGAATAAAAATGAGATTGATGATGACTTTCTCTAATTTTTAAGTCCATGCATCTGAATCAGCTTGTGACCTTTAATTTCAATTTTACTGTCTCTGATATTAGATGGATGGATGAAGTAATTTAAAAAAATAATCTCTTCCTATGGTATTTTCTTTTTCCATAGAGATTACGACCGCATATGTGCTTTAGCAATGATCTAACTAAAGACTTTTATGGAGACCTGGAAATCTTAAGCAAAACTAAAATCTCTGAAAAATGAGCTCTTCATTGTCTTAAGTAATGCTACATTTTGAATCAAGCATTAAGTGTGGTGATTTATTGGCTCTGTCAACCTAAAACTTGGGTTAAGATTCTATATTTTTGTATTAGGTATCTGTTTTTTTCCCCTGCACATTGAAAAGTCTGAATTATCAAGAAAGGAGAGTTTAATGATATTTTACATTCCCTCCTTTTACAGAAACATAAGAGTAAGAGAAATCTTCCATAAGAACTGACTTTGGCCCAGGGATTTAGCTCAATGGTTCCTCTGCCTGCCTCACAAGCACATTCTGAGTTCGATCCCTCGTACAAAAAAAAAAAAAAAAAAAAAAAAGAGCTGACATTGACACCTTACTCTTAAAATATAAAGGTGCTACAACTTTTGTAGATAAGCAGGATAAGAGTAATCTAAGAAAACCTGAGTTGTTTTTATTCGGTGGAGGTCGATTGATTTATTGGACTGCAAAGAGGTAAAATTTATTATGTGCTTCCTTGCAGCTTTGCAGCCCCAGATTTCCTGTGAGCAGGATATTGCAATATCTAAATAATGCAAAAAGCTTATTTTATGAAAAAAAAGTCATAGCTGTCCTATTTTTCTACGATATATGTTACCACTTTCATCTGAATAGTTGTGTGTGCTCTTTTGCAGGTCTTTTTCTTTAACAAAGTGCAGCTCCCTTAGATTAGAACTAAAAGAACTATAACGAAATTCACTATAAAGAAGGGCTTTGTCTGATTTTATGTGAAAAACTCCATTTGTTTTCCATTTTTGGTCTGATGGCTTGTGATTAAATCAAGAGGTGATAACTGATTTCTGTCAAGTAGCTGAATAAATAATAGCTAAATGATGTTAAAGTTCTTGTGCTATTTTTAGTACATGAAACTAATAAGCAATTTTGCTATCTTCACTGAAGGGCTCTAGTTTTTAACATTAACTGACATCACATTGATTTTCATTCTTAGGAATAGAATGTGTATTTTAGTTATATATTTTTATTTAGTTGCTTTGAAGTTTGGAGTGATTTTAATTTTTCTGTCATTCATGGCACAACATTTATAGAAAATTCATCACATAACTTGAGAAATGTGTACTGTAAGATGTAGTGGAGGTTGTTAAAAGGTGAAATAAATTAAAAGTATAAAAATTTTTAAAAATTAAATGTATGCCAAGCATAGTTTAATGTATATAGCAGTGAATTGTCTTTAATAACGTTAAATGTTCACACGTGTGTCCTATTTATTTCACTTAAAACTCTGGCCTCAATGTGCATCCATTTAGATATAACTGTCTCTAGTTCCTCATTCTTTATGGCTGAGTAGTACTCCATTTTATAAAACAACAAACAAATGGCATTTTCCTTACCCAGTCTCCAGTTGATGGGCAATTGGGCTGTTTCCAAGTTTTAGCTATTACAAACTGTGCCACTATGAACATGGTTATGCATATATTGCTGTGGTATGATTCTTTTAATTCTTCTGGGAAGATATACAGCAGGGGAATAGCTGGGTCAAATGGGACTTCTAATCCTAGGAAGAAAAGGTCTAAAAGGGAAGGGGAAGTGGCAGAGGTAGGGCAAAGGAAAGAAGGGAAAGGCAAAAATATGAGAGAAGGAAAAAAATGGAAATAAAGTCTCTGTAAATAGGAAGGGGTGGAGAGGTTGAAGGAAGGGCTGGGGAATGGGGAAAAAAATAAGAACCAAGACATATCATGTGAAGGTACAAGTTCCCAATGAAGAATGTCATTGTTTACCTACAATGCACCAATAAACTTAATGGAAAAAAAAGTTAAACTTTTGGATGGCTTAAAGTATGTTATTGTTTATGGATTTACGCATTTCAAATAATCATTTCCATAACTTTCTATAACTTGGATAAAGTTGGAGTGAGGGGTAAAATAAAATACGTATCTGTAATAGACCTGAACTCACGGATTAGGTGAGCAACGAGGGCATTCTGCCAAGCATGACACATATCTATCCAGAATTATGCATTGTGGAACTGGAAAAATGACAACAAGATGGATTCAGACTTGCACCGAGCCCTCCGTGAGCCAGACTTGGCCTAAAAGTTCACTGATCGCCAGTCTCCCTAAGCCTTTTCTCTCCTTGGAGAGCCAATGGTCATATTTCAGATCTGGAATCACTTAGTTCAGAATCAGTATTCGTAAGTCCCTAAAATGCCTATTTCCTTTTGCCCAATGTACAGTTACCCTGGTCAAAGACTGTAGGTCCCTTTGGGAAAGAATGAGAGAAAAATTAACAGTATAATTTTTTGGTAGTGCAAAAACCTCCTTGCTCAAGGGGACCTGGTCTTCCTTTCATTCAACGGGTTGTAGGTCTGTAAACTGGATCAAGTCTGTTTCTATGATTTGAGGTAGATTTTTGTTCACTTGCCACCCACTGTTTCGGCTTACAAAGATTCAAGAAATATTTAGAATTTTCCTGTTGCACTTCTGGGAATGCCATAATTAGCCAGTGCCATAGGTCTACCCCGATCAGATCATACCAATCATTGCTTTGGCTCTGCTGTCCCTTACAGTAAATTCACCCCTGTCCTTGTATGGTGGAGTGCTGTTATTTGGCCCTGCCACTCATGGATCCAATTGTACCTGTTGCATTTAAGCTTCCCATTTGAGTAACTGTGGTTCCCACAGTAAATTCTGGCAAACAGAAAAGAGCAATGACAGAGCTTTACAGGGATGTTGGTGCTTGCCTCACACATCTAATTCTCAAGGTATTAGTGAGGAGTATATTTTCTGGGGTCCCCCATCCCCGTGCGGATGAGTAGGTTGTATCTGCTCCAGCATTTCCATCTCCTTAAAATTTTGAATTCCCTCGGTAAGCCATGGAAAGTCAGAAATCTCCAGCTTATTCACAGTGGGCCATTTTTTTGATCCACATTTCGGCTAACAAACTAAATAAACTATTAGCACCTATATTAATGCCTTAAACCATGCCAGTAAACCCAGAATCTCTGCTTAAAGGACTCGTATCAAGAAATTCAGCCTGACTAAATTTGTTTTCTTTCCTTTAAGATCCATTCCCAGATCTGCTCCCCGGACTTACGCTTGTAAGAATTAGGAAACTCCAGTTCTTTGGGAGTGTAGAATACCTTCTCACAGGGCATGCTGTGTACCTCACTTCTTGGAGCCCATTGAAGTTTGATCCTGGTTATAAACCTGGATGCAACAGTGGGCTGTAAGGATGGGTCCTGAGAAGTGCTGGTGCCGTTTTGCTGGGTAACTGCATCAGAGAGGGATGTCATCCTTTTCCCAGGCAATGCAGGATTAATTTCCTAAGGCAGAGGCAGGAGGTCAACACTACAGGTTTTGAGGGGAAGGATCATTCTGCCACTGAAGAGTGGGTGGACCTCTTCAAAATAAACTTATTAAGATTTAGGAGTTCACTCGGTTCCTCTCCAGTGTCTCTACCCCAGTTTACTGGATGCCATTCTTTTTTTGTTCAGTGACCTCACTTTAACTGGAGATAGCCTTGAGGCTGAGAGGTAAACTTGTGTTGTAATTCATCTAATCACATGATGAATGCTTATGTTTGGTTTTTGACTATGGCAGCCCTATGGTCATAGGAGTTACGATTCTCTT